CCCCGGTCCAAGGTGCCCCCAGGATTTCCGAGGAGACCCCCCCACGGCCTCCAGAGCACCCTCACGAAGCCAAGAGGGCCCCAGGGGCTCCAGAGTCGAGCGAATAGCTGGGGGCACCTTGGGCCAGGGGCACCTTTGGCCTTGGCCACACCCGAGCGGCGGCGCGCACAAGGGGATATGGGGGAGGGGGGAGAAGGCTTCCTAAAAAGAGGCTGGCTCTTAGAAGGCGCGGGCCCTGCATGTATAGACAAGGTCCGCGCCTTCTAAGAAGCAGCTTCTCAATCTCTCTCTCTCTCTCTCTATCCCTCTCTCTCTGACAAGCGTGTCTCCCCTCCTCTGCGCGTGGCCGAGGGACCAAGGGACCGAGGCTTGGCATGCCTCTCCAGGAAGGAGGCAGGTGTAGAGGGAAAAGGGGGGGCCTCGCGCGGGGGAGGAGACAAGATGCGAGACATCAGCGTTGGCTGCGGCGCGAGGGGAATGAGGAGGAAGAGGAGGACAAGGACGAGGACGAGGACGAGGACGAGGAGGAGGAGGAGGAGGAGGAGGAGGAGGAACGCTACAGGCTTTGCACATAAAGGCCGTTCAACGTAAAAAGAGGAGGAGGAGCAGGAGGAGAAGGAGGAAGAAGGGGGGAGGGAGCGAGGAGCTGCACAACCCCCTCCCCCCACCTCCGCAACTGCCTCCACGCGCCAACCCCCAGCAGGGGCCCCTCCTGGCTCGACGCCCCTCTGCCGCATCGGACTGCGACCGGAGGAGGGTGGGACTGCGACGAATGCCCCACGGGGTGGCCTTCACGCAGCTCCAACCCGCCCTCAGGGGACCACATGCGAAACCTACCCCTACCCCCTACGACTTCTGAGGGGGAGAGTGGGGTTCACTTCGCTCGGGAGCTCCCCAGCGAAGTGAACCCAACCCTCCCCCTCAGAAATCGTTGGGGGTAGGGGTAGGGTTCGCATGTGGTCCCCTAGCCCTGCCCAGCCGAGGCCGACTCGCAACGCAAGCTGGGGGGGGGCAAGTGGGGGCCCTCTGGGGCCCGCGCCTGGTGGCTTCCAGCACGCCCGTCTCCGCAGGATGCTGGCACATCTGCTGCGAAGCGCTGCGTGGGGAAGCGCGCCAATCACCGATCTGAGCATCGGAGCCCTGCTCGAACTTGACTCACCGGGAGCGTCCCATAGGACGCACAGGGACATACTAATACTATATGTCCTCCTTGGAGGCGCGCGTCCGACCCGAATATCTAGTATACGCATCTTGGAGTATATCGTTTCCCGAGCGGTGTGGCCAGAAAGCGCCCGCCACGACGCATATACTACAAGACTTCTCGGTGGGCGCGTCGCCCCCTTGGGCGGGGGGGACGCACACGTAGTAGAAATATGTTGGGGTGGCGCCGATCCCTAGAGGCACGGCGTTGTCTTTGGGGAAACCAAAAGGTACCGATACCGCTACTCCCCGGACCTCTCCTGGGGTGCGTTCTAACCAGGATTTCGAGGCGAATCCAGCGGTGCGAACGAGGGAGGCCCAGGAGGCCCAAAAAGGGGAAAACGAGGAGAGGGTAGAGGTATGGGTACGTTTTCCTCCTCTGAGTCTCTGCTCTGGATGTCGTTCCCTCGCTCTCTCCTTCGGTAAGGCGTCGGGTTGACAGCAGGCGGCTCCCCTGGGTAGGCAGCCCTAGCCTGCCTCAACGTGCCCCCCGAGAATAACCCAGAGAGCCAGGGGGCACGAGGAGGTGGGAGGAGGGAGGGGGGAGGAGGGAGGAGGAGGCAGGAGGGAGGGAGGGACACGAGGCAGGAGGGAGGGGCACGAGGAGGAGGCAGGAGGGAGGGACACGAGGCAGGAGGAGGCAGGAGGGAGGGGCACGAGGAGGAGGAGGAGGAGGAGGCAGGAGGGAGGGAGGGAGGGAGGGAGGGAGGGAGGGAGGGAGGGAGGGACGGAGGGAGGGAGGGAAGGCGGCGGCAGGCTCCTCAGGGGCACGGGTCGGTTCAACTCTGGCATGCGGACAGAAGACAGCAAGCCACAAAAAGGTCACCCAAGTCCCGCGAGTGCGCTGAGGAGCGGGCTCATGCCATGGGGGAGGGGGCTAGACGCCCCAAGGCGGATCCCAGCATCGGAGGCATCCCTGTGGCCACCTGGCGCCCCGACAAAGTTGGGAAGCTAGTTACAGTAGACCACTGCTTCAAACGCGGAGCGAATCTAAGATCAAAAAATAACCAAAAGAGAAGAAATCCACACACACACACACACACCGTCTAAGACCCTGAGGATGGAGGATGGAGAATGAGAAGGAAGGCTGTCATGGACTGTCATCGGCTGCGTTCTGGAGCCTTCCGTGGAAGGGGCCCAAACGGATGACACCCCTGCTCGCGGACCGTGACCAGCCCAGCCGAGTGGAGTGTGGCGTCGATGGGCTTTGCGCACAAACCCGATATGTAGGCGAAAACACTGGCTCCAGCTACCTCCCATAACGAACCGCGACGAGTACTGCCACCGCCCACCCATCTCACACCCGTTGACCCAGCGTTGGAACTGAGGCGTCGGGGGCTGCGTCGGTGGCGACCCCCAGCCGTGAGGCTGGGCACCCACGACGCGCGCTGATCCCTGCATCGTAGCTGAATGCGCGCTGTCCGTCGTGCCGCATGCGCTGGACCCGGTGCTGTAGCTGACGACGTGGGGCTGCGACTTCGCCGCCGACATCTCGCTGAGTGGCGACGGGTCCTGCTGCCACTGCTCGCCTTTCTCGCCCGCGCTGATGCTATCGCTGTAGCTGATGTCGTCGGGCTGCGACTTCGCAGCAGACGTATCGCTGAGTGGCGGCAGGTCCTGCTGCCACCGCTCGCCTTTTCTCGCACGCGATGCTACTAGCGCGCGCTGTAGCTAGTACATCGGGCTCCAGCGTCACCGTTCTCTGTTCGGAGCGTGGTAGCAGAACTGGCAGTCTCTGCTCGCACTTGTCGCACGAGTTCGGTCTCGAAGTTCCAGTACTTTGCCGCCCGCGTCTCCCGATCCCTGCGCAATACGTGATGGTGTCGGGCTTGGTAGGAGAAGAAGGGCGAGGAGGAGGAGGAGGAGGAGGAGGAGGAGGAGGAGGAGGAGGGGGAGGAGGAGGAGGAGGAGGAGGAGGAGGAGGAGGAGGAGGAGGAGGAGGAGGGGGAGGAGGAGGAGGAGGAGGAGGAGGAGGAGGAGGAGAAGGAGGAGGAGCAGGAGGGGAGAACACACAGTGACGCTGAAAGCGAGACACGACAAGCCTGGCAAAGGAGGCGACGACAGCGACGGACGAGGCCCCCAGGAGCATGACCTCCAGAGCACAAGAGGACAACATGTTGTAAACACAGACTGTCGGAGGTCCGCGCGGATTTCGACCCTGGTCCTCCCTGGCGCGCAGAGCGCGCCAGAGGTGGCGCCAGAGGTGCCGCCAGGAGAGCGCATGCGCCGATCCAGAAATCCGCGCGGACTTCCGAAAGTCATGTTCTGCGCAGCTGCTCATGTTTCTCATTGTTCGTCGTATTGATATGTCTCGTTATTATCCTTTGCATTCTAATCATTCTCACGCTGGGGCATGCTCTGGAGCAGACGAATCCCTCAACTACTCCGCGACACGACCAGCCGCACCATTGTTTCGTCGCTCAGCGAGGGCAGGCCGGCATGCTCCCGCTCTCCACGGAGATCTGAGGAGGAGGCAGGAGGAGGCAGGAGGAGGCAGGAACCAACGCCTCTGCAGCCGCTGCCTTTCTCGGCAGAAGTAGCTGCGCGAGCGCCAGGCCCATGGGATCGCCTGCTGTGCGAAAGCAGGGCTGCGACCGGCTCTTCTCGGCCGAAAGTGCCGTCGGGGCGTCGGAGACAGTCCAGAAGGGCAGCAAGCCCGCAGAGGAGAGATGAGGGAGCGACAAAACCAGCAGAGGAGTCCACGTGGCGAGCTGATAAGGGGCGGAGAGCCAGACAATTGCACCTCGGGGGTTGGTGCCCTGTACCGCGCCGCTACCTCGCCCAGTCAGGACGTAGCACTAACTCATCAATGAGACTATGTGCAAGAGAGCGGACCTCTTGTACCCCCCCCCCCGCTCGCGTCGCGGCTCGGTGCGCCAGACTTGCCACAGGCGCCTGGATATGATTCACTCGCACATGGGCGTCCCCGTGCAAGCGCCGGAGAGCAGAACTGAAGGAAGTCCTCGCAGGTCGCCGCACGGATGGGTGCAGAAGAGCGTGGTGCGAGCCTCGGCGCGCGGCAGGGAGGAGGGTTGGGCGCGAAATAGTGTTGGGCGATACATGAGGGGGGGGGGGGGGAAGGTGCCCTTCTCGGGCCCGAAAAGCAAAGGGCACCTAAAGGGCCCCTTCTCGCCAAGAGGTCCCAGGAGACTGGCCTCGGGGACGCCCCAAGAGGCACCAAAACGGCCGTGAAGAGGCTTCAAAACAGTCTCCAAAAGGCCCCCGAGAAACCTCCCGCGACATCCAAACGAACATCCTCGAGGCCTATGGCCCACAACCAAGGCACGGTGGCGAGATGGGCCGAAGGCCATTACGTGTGTATATATATATATATATATGTATACACACACGTATACACAGAGATGCACATGCACGTATATACCTGAATACGCCTATACGTAGATGCACATATACATGTATAGCTATATACATGTATACATACCACATGTATACAAGCATGCATGTCTATACACAAATATAGATATACGTACAAATATATGCATGCGTATACACACACAAATATGCATATACGTCTATATGCAAATAGAAATGTACATACACATATGTCTAACAATATACATGTATGAATAAACATATATATATGTGTGTGTAGTATATACACATCAAGTTAATGTGTATGTGCTCCCCCCACATGGTTGGGGAGTATATAATCAAACACCTTCGCCAAACTCTAGTCCAATGTCTGGTCACATAGGCGCTTCCACAAGGCAGGGGGCGGCGGTGGTTCGCCGTAGGCGTCTTCGATACTTCTAGATTCCCAGGGCACAGAGGGTAGCCGCTCACCACCACCGCCACGTCGTGCCTTCTGGCTCCTGCTGTACCGCCTGGATGGGCTCATCGACGGGCTAGGTCAAGCAGCAGTGAGTCGGAGGAGAGAACCATACGATTGTTCGACTTGGCGAGCGTGGCGGAGATCTCTTTCGCAACGCTGATCTTCCGAAGCTCGATAAAGCCCGGGTTCTGCTTCACGGCAGAGCCGATCATCTTCGCCGACGCGGCCTCGCCCTCGGCGTGGATGATAGTTCTCTTCTTCTCCTCCTGCGCTTTCAGCACCAGGTACCGCGCGCGCTCCGCATGCTGCTGGGCCACCTGCTTCGACTCCACTGCCTTCTCGTACTCTGGACTGAAATTCAGGTGTGTGATCGACACATCGTCCAAGAGAATGTGAAAGTCGGCCGCTCGCTTCATGAGCCGCTGCCGGATCATGCGGCTGACGAGGTCGCGCTGCACGATGAGCTGCGAGGCGTTGTACTGTGCCACCACGCTCTTCAGCACCTCGTTGACGATGGACGGGAGCACCTTCTCGTCGAAGTCCGTGCCGAGGAGCCTGTAGATCTCGGGCAGCCTGCCGTTGTCGGGCCTGCTCAGGACGCGGACGTTGATGTTCACCATCTGCAGATCGCGGCTCCCGGTCAGGGACGTCATGGTGTGCGGCCTCGCGCGGGTGTCGAATATGATCGGCCTCTCGAGCCACGGGATCGCGAAGTGGAGCCCCTCGAAGAAGGTCTGAGCGCCGACCCCCGACAGGCGGTTGTACTTAATGGCCATGCGCGGAAGAAGAGAAGCCAGCGCAGGCACAAACTTTCGGAGCTCCCCGCGGACTTCTCGGATCGGCGCTGACCCCCCCCCACCCACCCCCTGGTGCGCTCCGCGCGTCAGGGGCGGCGCCGGAGGCCCCGCCAGGGGTGGGACGAGAATGTCATGATGCCATTGGCTCAGAATACGTTCAAGGAGCTAGAGCCATTGCGGAACTATCGCAAGAATCTGGGAATTCTTGCCAAAACCCTGGAAATGTCTTGCAAAACCCCTGGACATAACTGGAAATCTTGCAAAAGCCCTGGAAATATAGGAACGCAGCATGATCACCACCTCTCGCTCGAGGGAGGCGGAGCGCCGAGCCTGAGCCGAGAAGTCCGCGAGGGCCTCCCAAAGTGTATGTCCGTGACCGTGAGCCTTTTCTTGCTACCATTCGCGGTAACGCCCGCTACTGGCCCCGCCACCCATCCCTCCGCCCGCCTGGCCACGTCACAGCGCCGGCGCGACTCGTGACGCGACAGTCGGCCCGTATCACAAGGATGCGCGATAGGTATGCAAGGGCCTCGGACGCCCATCTCGAAGCTTCTCGAGCAGCGCGCGGCCGACGAAAGTGAGCCAGGATGGGCCGAGGAGGCAAGGATGCATGGTACCCTTGGGAAGGCTGCCCATCCTCACCATGCGGGTCGACTGTACTGGCACCCCCCCACCCTCCCCCCCAGTCACGCCCTTTATCGCCAGGGGATAAAACAACTGCCTCTACAGAGAAACAACAGCGGCATAAACAGAAACTTTCGACGGTCCGCTCGGATTCCTTGGATCCGCTCTGAGCCCCCTCCCTGGCGTGCGGAGCGCGCCAGGGAAGGCGGCGGAGGCGCCGCTGGGGGGCCCAGCGCAGATCCAGGGAACCCGCGCGGAAAGTGCACGTTCATGCTTTTGTTTCTCCTTGGCTGTGTCGGGTTCTCCTCTTCGGCATGTGGCCGGCGTCCACCGTGTAGAAGGTGCTCTTCCCGAGGTACGCGGCGCCCCCGATCGCGCCCAGGCCCGCCGCCACGAGCGGGCCGCTGCCTGAGGCGAGGCCCTGCAGCAGCTTCTTCGGGTCGAAGCGCGCCATGGCCGGCGGAGGGGAGGACTGCCTGGCGGGGCCGCGCGGGATGTGGGGCAAGGGGAGGGGGGGGTGAAACAGTCGCTCGCGCCAGGCTGGAGCCAAAACTTGGGCCAGAGTGGCAAGAGAGGGAGGGCGGGGGGCGGCATGAGGCGGGGGAACTCTTGCCAACGCTCCTAATGCTCCTGCTCCTTCTCCCCTTCCTCCGCCTTCTCCTCCTCCTCACTCCGCATCCCCCTCCCCCCACGGACGCTGAGAGCCAAGGCCCGCGTCGGCCGTTCCTCGCCCCAATGTTCTCCAGGCCAGGTCGGCTTCCCGAGTCGCAACCAACACTGACATTCGGTCCAACGCTCACCACTCCTCTTCCTCCTCCTCCTCCTCCTCCTCCTCCTCCTCCCCCTTCTCCTCCTCCTCCTCCTCCTCCTCCTCCTCCTCCTCCTCCTCCTCCTCCTCCTCACCCTCCTCCTCCACCTTCTCCTCGTATTCCTCCTCTCCTCTGCTCCTCCTCTCCTCTACTCCACCCCTCCTCCTTATATAACGCCTCCCTGTCGCACACGGAGGCTGGTCGAAAGGGCGGGCCTGGCGTTTCGCCTGAGAATTCCTCACCATGTATGACCCTGACGGTTAACAGTTGCAAGAGGTTCACAGATGGAGGGCGCTCGTTTTCAAAATGCGGTTTCCGCCGGAGCGCCACGCACGTTCGCAGAACAAATTTGCAAGCGCTTCACAGATGGAGGGCGGTACGTTCTCAAAGTGTGGCTCTCGCCATAGCGCCACGCAGATTCGTACAAGGAGTCTGCAGCAGTTTCAGCAGTTCTCAAAATTTAACGGCCCAGCAAGAATGTTCGGGCACGATGTCGGAAGGTCAGGGCACCACAGCCACGCTGATTCGCGGTGTTTGAGGTCCCAGGAATGGTTTGCTCTGAAACGAGTCAGGATGGGCAAGACGCAACAGTAATGGTGAGTCGCAGCATTGATTTCCCAGGAACGGCGTTCTGGCACAATCCCGTATTTTCAAACGGTTGTCTTCCAACTGGGCACTTCCCTCAGTGAAAATGATTCTCCGTATAGGGGCTTGAAGAGGGAACCTGGAGGAAGGGCGTCTTGCAAAATCTTTGACGAGTCCTGGGTTTACGCTGGTCCTCCTCCTCCTCCTCCTCCTCCTCCTCCTCCTCCTCCTCCTCCTCCTCCTCCTCCTCACTCCACCTGCTCCTCCTCCTCCTCCCCCTCCTCCTCCTCCTCCTCCTCCTCCTCCTCCTCTCCCCTCCTCCTCCTCCTCCTCCTCCTCCTCCTCCTCCTCCGCCTCCTCCTCCTCCTCCTCCTCCTCACTCCACCTCCTCGCTCCACCTGCTCCTCCTGAGCCATCGCCGGAAGACTCACCACAAGGAGGGCCCGTGCGCCCCCCCCGCGCGGTACGGTGAGAACGGGCAGGCGCCCGCACAGTATATATGCACCGCTTCGCTCGCGGGGCGGCGCTGCTGCTCCCCGGCACTCCGTGCGCACCGGCGCCGTGGGGATCCTGGCCTGCCCGTGGACCAGAGGCCTCCAGGGTGGGGTCCGAGCCAATGGGGCCGGAGGATCGCGCCGAGTCGTCGATGTATCACCGATGCATCAGCGACGAGGAGGAGGAGGAGGAAGAGAGGAGGAGGAGGAGGAGGAGGAGGAGGAGGAGGAGGAGGAGAAGGAGGAGGAGAGAGGAGGAGGACGGGCCGCCTATGTCCTTCGGAGAAAACCTCCACCTGAGCCTACCCACCCCTACTGTTGCCCCTGAGCTCCGGCGGGGTCGCGGCCGCGCCTGCTGGGCAACCGGCGCGCCCGGGAGCGAGAAGCCCTCGCTGGGCACGAAGGCTGGCTGCGTCCGCGAGCCGCCTCGGCGGGCAAGAGGAGGAGGAGGAGGAGGAGGAGGAGGAGGAGGAGGAAGAAGAAAGGAGGAGAAGGAGGAGGAGGAGGAGGAGGAGAAGGCGGAGGAGGCGGAGGAGGAGGAGGCGGGCGTGTTCGCTCCGCTTCGGGCCCGAGGACCACCACGTATCGCTCCGGATCTAAAAAAGATGCCGCAGGACGATAGGGGTCCAGAGGCGAGCAGAAAGAGCTTCGGTAAGACTTACCCCGTGTCCTGGCTCCTCGCTGCGCTGCCGCCGCCGTCAACCCCACCCCAGGAGCAGCCGCTGCGTGCAGCACGAGGAGCCAGCTTGTTTACTTGTTGTTTCTCTTCATTCACGAGCTTGCTGCTGCATCTCTCTCTCTCTGTATAGGCCGCAATTGTGCTCTCTTCGCTGAAGGTCGCTGAAGGCTGACCCAGACAGAATTCGTGAGGTGGTGAGCGAATGTGTAAGCTGAGATGCAAGAGCGGGGTGTGGCGTGGTGGGCCCCCCCAGGGAGGGAGGAGGATCGATGAATCCATGGACCCACTGGGGTCGTCGACGTCGTCGTTGTCGTCGTCGTCGTCGCCGTCGTCTCCGTCGTCGTCGTCGCCGTCATCGTCGTCGTCGTCGTCGTCACCCGACGAGCCCTGCCCGACGAGCTCCCAACACGCAGCGGCGCCGCCCCGAGCCCGCGGTAGAGGCCGCCCCCGCCGAGCCGGCCACCCGCGGCCGCGGCGAGCAGCCCCCCCAGCGAGGAGCCCTGGCCGAGGCCGGTGGACCCGCTCCTAGCGCGCGCGACGTCGAGGGCAACAACAACGACGACGTCGAGGGCGGCGACGACGACGGCGAGGGCGACGACGACGACGACGTCGACGACGACGACGACAAGAGCGACGACGGCAACGACGACGACGACGACGACGACGACGACGACGACGACGACGGCGACGACGACGACGACGACGACGACGACGACGACGACGACGACGAGGGCGACAGCGACCGCAACTAGCGGGTCGGACGGGCAGACCCTGACGGGCGGGTGTGGCGGGCGGACGGACCCTCGCGGGCGCACTTGCCAGGCGCTCCCTGGGGCCGGCTCCGCCGCGTGCTCGGGGATCCGCGGACCCGGGCCAGTCCAGACCCAGGTCAGTCAGGCCTTGCAGGATCCTGCACCCAAGCCCGGGTCAGTGCGCCCCAGGCCCTGCAGGATCCCGACAGACCCGGCGCCCTGACCCCCGTCCCTTGGGCCCCCGTCCCTTTGACCTCAGACCCTTGAGCCCCGTCCCTGGCTAGTTTGCACTGACCCCCGCCCCTTGGGCCCCGTGCGTGCTCGCGACCCCAGGTCTCCGGCGATGTGAGCTTTTCACTCCGGCCGTTCCTCCTCCTGCATCTCGGTCTCCAGGGGCCGCCGTCGGGCCCCGGGAGCATATGAGAGCAGGACCCGAGGCGAGAGAATACCCTCCTCCTCCTCCTCCTCCTCCTCCGCCGCCTCCTCCTCCTCCTCCTCCTCCTCCTCCTCCTCCTCCTCCTCCTCCTCCGTAGCCATTTTGGCTCAAGCGATCGCACGGTGCCGCCCCGCGTCCTCCTCGGTGCGCGATGGCGGAGCCTAGAGGAGCTCCACCCGCCAGCGCTGCCGCCGCCCTGATGGCTGCGGCCGTGCGCGCGGCGGTGCAGGCTCATGCGCCTCGCCGCACCGTCGCCGCCATCGCGCGCTCGGTCGCCTCCGCCTCGCTGTTCGCGATGGCGTCGCGGCCTGGGGCGAGCGCTGGCGAGGCTGACGGCGGCAAGGACAAGGTCAAGGACAAGGACAAGGTCAAGGACAAGGGCATGGGAGCCTCCGCGGACACGGGCCTGGGCAAGGTCCTCCGCAGGCGCCGCCGACGCCAGAGACTGGCGGAGGCGAAGCGGGCGGCCGCTGCGGCGGACGACATGGACGAGGACGGGATCAACGACCAGTGGGCTGATGACCTGCGGCGCGATGCGGACCTGGAACCTGCGGCAGCCTCGCTGCCTGGGGACGGTGCCGACAGCGCGCGCGGTGCTGACGCCCCTCTCGCTGAAGAGCCTCGCGGAGGCGGATGCGGCGCTGATGCTGGAGAGGCGCGCGCGGGCCCGTTGGCCGTGAGCGGCTCGGTGGTCCAGCTGCCCGCCGCCTCGGTGCCTGGGGATGCGGAGGCCGCCGACGACGCAGAGCGGCTGCGGTGTTGCGGCGGCGACGCAGAGATAGCGGCGCGCATGAAGGCCGTCGAGGAGCTCGGGCGGCTGGAAGGCCTCGCGGAGTTCGAGGCGGAGCAGCTGGTGCGCGGCCGCGCCCCTGGCGCAGGGAAGGGGAGGCGGCTGGGGGGGCGACGATAATGCCGTGCCCCTGCGTAGGGAGGAGGCCGTCGCCCCTTCCCCCCTTCCCTGCCATGATGCTCGCCTTCGGCATGTTTAAGTCCGACGGCACGGTCGGGGACCTGGCGCCTCAGGTGGTGGCCAGGTCCCCGCGGTCGCGCCCGCTCGGCGGGCGCGTTTAGTCTCGCGAGGCTCTTCTCCTCCTCCTCCTCCTCCTCCTCCTCCTCCTCCTCCTCCTCCTCCTCCTCCTCCTCCTCCTCCTCCTCCTCCTCCTCCTCTGCCTTCGCCTCCTCCTCCTCTGCCTTCGCCGCCTCCTCCTTCCTCCTCCTCCTCCTCCTCCTCCTCCTCCTCCTCCTCCTCCTCCGGGCCAGGGATGGAAAAAACACATCGGCTGACGTCAGGGACCCAGACATGGGGGGCAACGTCAGGGGGGGGACCAGCTGAGGCGGGGGGAGAATGGAGCCTGAATCGGCGATACGTCGCCGACAGGCAGACCATGGGCCTCCGACGGCGGATGCGCACGTTCCTGGGCGGGGTGGGCTATTGGGCCCCAGATCGGCGCTCCATGGGCGAATGGGGCAGAAGGAAAAAAAACGCCATGAACAGAAACTTTTGGCGCTCCGCGCGGATTTCTTGGATCCGCGCTGGACCCCCTCCCTGGCGCGCGGAGCGCGCCAGGGGCGGCACCAGAGGCGCCGCCGGGGGGGGGGGGCCCGGTGCGGATCCAAGAAATCCGCGCAGGGCGCCAAAAGTGTATGCTGATGGCGTTGTTTTTCTTCTTCGAGACTGGGGGTCGATGCAACCCCCGCT